AAGACTATACGTATTAGGATAATATAAAGTATGATGACCAAATGTATCACAAACAGTTTTAGTAGCTCACTGTTTGTTAAATCAGGTCCATGGAGGAAAACTTATGCATTTAGTGGTGATTATGTATGGACCATCTCTGATCTGGGACACAACCCACCAATGAAGATCACTCAGCTGTGGACCACACTTCCTGGAAACCTGAATGCTGCTGTACACTCTCCAAGAACCAACAAGACCTACTTTTTCAAAGGTACAGTAGTTGTCCTTATTTAACCTGCTGTCTTGTGCTCACCTTCTGTGAGTCCAGATAAAAATGTTTGTACTGAATCTGGTCACAGGCAGCAGAGTGTGGAGATACACCAAGTTCAGTCTTGACTGGGGCTACCCTAAAGATGTCAAAAGGATCCCTCACAGTATTGATACTGCCCTGTACCTGGAGAAGAACAAGAAGCTGGTCTTTATTAAGGTATCAAAATATGAGCAGCAGAACACATTGTGAATGTGAACACTACTGTGTTCATATGTATTGCCCTTCTTATAGAAACCTTCTGTTGTTTGTTTTGTCTTTTTATTTCCTTTTCTTGAGTTCAGCCGCACAGTGTTGCACTATTATCCATATGTTGATATTTATCAGTACATAGTTCATATTTACCAGAATGAAAAGTGTAATTTTTCCAAATACAAAAAAGGAAGAAAAAAACAAGAATCAAGAATTAGAATATAAACATCTAAATAACAGAATAAAATAATGTGAATAACTACATTGAAAAAATAAATATTCATTGTTTATCATTTTTCATGTAAGTAAAGTATACTACTTAGTTGCCAAACAGATTTCTTTTCTAATGGTTACCTTGCAGCTCATTTTTATTAACTTATTGTTGTTATCTTCCACATTTACTGGAAAAAGTCTTAAAATAACGAGAACTGAATTGAATGGAACTTCCTAATCTAAATATTTTGAAAGTCTTTATCTATGTTTTACCAATGTTCTAAATAAACCTTGTCTTCTCGTCTCTCTCTCGTTGCTGAATGCTGTGCAGGGTTCAGATCACTGGCAATGGGACGAGCTGAAGTACAATGACTTATCCCACTACCCAAAACCGCTGTCCATGCTCTTCTCGCGGGTGCCCTCCAGTCCAGATGCAGCCTTCACCTGGACAAACGGAAAGGTGTTCTTCTTTAAGGGAGACGAGTATTGGCGGATGAATGAGATGCTTACGGCCGACAGAGGATACCCACAGAGCAAGAAGGCGCGCTGGATGCAATGCTAGGGGTCCACCACCAGGAGGCAACAGGTGTATAAGACTGGTGCCAAGAGATGATCAACCAGCAGGGGTCGCTGGTTCCATTCCAGGGGCATTGACAACTGTGCAACCTCAACAGCAGTGATTCATTGTAGAACTGATTTTATTTCACTGGATCCATGATTCCCTGCCCTCCAGAGCAGGAAGTCTTTTTTTTTTAGTTCTTGAGCTTTATTGTTTGTGTTTTTGTGACTGGGTGTCTTATGTAAGCTTTTGTATGATCTCAGGGAGAAATCGAGGAACGCCTTCTGTTTTTCTCTCAAGCATGTGTGTTTGATTATGTGTCTTAATACCTTCTGGCAGATGTAATACGACGGTCGGAGTGTGCACTTTCTACTCAGCCTTTATTATGTAACACTTTTAAATTTTACCAAACACATCCATTATCTCAATAATCACACAGGTCTGTGAGAAATCATGTAGCAAAAATGTGTCCTGAGTGAATCATTTCTGCAATTAAACGACACATAATATCAACTGTAAAATCGACTTCTTCATTTCATTTCCTCGCACTAGAAAGGAGGTTTAAAAGCAAAATGCTCACTATGATCAAGGCCAGGCTGTCCTGTACTGAATCGCCTGCAACACAAAAAACCTTGGAAGCACCATGGCAACCTAAACCACTCGCTGAGTAGGAAATCCTTCCTATGTCCTTGGAAATCTGATGAGTAATTCAGCCAGTGTTGCTAAGAGCCCACAGAAACAATGGTGTAATTTATTCAACTCGACCAAGGACTAGAAACTGTTTTTTTTTTTTATCAAACACTTTTATTTATTCCTATTTGAAATTTCTATCAACAGGTATGTACAAATTCAGGTAACAAAGCACATTGTCCCTGCAAATAAAAACAACATAAAGGGGGTAATTATTTAAAAATCTACAAATTAACAACAGGCGTGCTTTTTTTGTCGTTTTTTTTCAACATTACCATGTCCTGTACTTTGTTCATTGTATAAATTAAATTATAAAAGTTTACTCCGCAAGCACACACAAGTCTTCACCATGTTCTGACAAAACAAAAACACAAAAAAAGGTCACAGAATTAAGAGTGCTGCTGGAAAAGATCCCACTAAAAGCTCTGGCTAAGAGCTTTTAAACAACAACTGTATAACGACTGTATCATGTAATTTTTGCCTCACTTTCATTCTTTCATGTTTCCATCTACATGTCATATTTTACTCTCACACTACACTCCCATCTAAAAAAAATACACAAAATTAAAGTAATTTTAACACAACTTTCACAAAATTCTACAACCACACATTTGAACCGTTCTCATGTCATCATAACACAACACTTCATGGCAATGACTAACTTTTTAAGTACAGTACATTTTAAACAAATTGCTTTGTCACATTCACAACCAAAACAGTAACACACTCACTCTTGAGGCTCGTACTTGCTTTTTATGTATTTCATACATAATATGAGGAAATCAAGGACCCTACAATGTATATCAACTTTTTTTTAAGTATTTCTCTGAGAAACAGGGGGGGTTGTAGTGGTTATGGCTTACACCAAAAAGGGGCTTCACAAATCTTACTTCTAAATAGACAGTATTCTCTTCCACTGAACACAGGCATACACGTCCTTGCTTTAGCTCATTTCGAAGGCAGATTAAAACCCTTCACTGAGGGTCACAGTTTATTTGTTCTACTCTACTTCAGGAAGACACAGCTGGAGAACCAGAGAAGCACCAAACAGTCCCTTCTAGTCCTTGTGAAACTCAGATCCTGATGACCGGGGTTGTAGCAGTGAGGGGTGCTGTGGACCCGGTCTCAAAGTCCAGGTCGATCATGGTGTGGTTGGCAGTTCCCAGGCTGCTAAGGGAAGTGCCGGTGCCCATCTGTCTGTCCCGCAGACTTTGCAGGTAGCTCTGAGAACAAAAAACAGAAGGAGAGATGAGTGAGGTGCACAAAAAGTCATGACATGTTTTTATTTTTTTTTATTTTTTTTAAATGGCATCAGTTTTACAGCACACGCCATGTTGGGAGACACTGACCGGTGCCAGTAGATCCCCAGCGTAACGTTTCACTGGGGTGGGTTTACGGCGGTACATGCCTTCCTGCCCACCTGCCTGCTGCCGCTTCTTGGCGTCCTTCTCTCGTATCCGCATCAGCTGGACTCTCTTCTGCCTCCGACTGATCACAACTATGAGAAGGGGGGATTTAAGGGCAACTTTTAAGATGACTCAATAATAAAACACAATCCAGGATTTCTGAAAGGATTACAAAAAAGGAATATGATATTTATTCCAAATATTATTTGCTAGCAGATTTATAAGGAACTTAAAACTTTAGAAAACATTTAAAGCATTTAATGTTTTTGCAGAAAGAAATCTGTTCCTACTATGTGCATTTTAGTGATCAATCGTGTGCTAACATAGCAGTTGTTTTTACACATTAACCTTACAGTGAACTTTCCTATTAGAGGGGTTAACTGCTTTTGAACTAAGAATTACCTTTTGACTTATTCTGATTTGTAACCCTACAGAGTTAACAGATAAAGTGTAATGATATTTCCTCCTCACCCTCAGTGTGCGAGAAGCTGTCATCTGTAAGTTTCCATTGGACCAGAACTCCTATAAGGCTGAGGGCGGGCCAGATGCCCAGAATGACCCAGCTGTACCAGCAGAGAGGGGGTCCGGGTGTGAGTTTCAGGCAGTCATACACATGTGTACCCAAAGCCAGCATCTCCACAAAATAATCAGCGCACACAGTCATGATGGCTGCCCCGAACACAGCAGTGGACAGCATGGTGAAGAGCTTCTGCCACTGCAGCGTCAGCACAGCAAACAACATGCCTGTTCCCAAGAGAGTACCCAGTGGGACCCAGACTGTGGTAGGAGTGTAGAACTGGTGAGTGACCAGCAGGGCGGACAGAGCCAAGAGGAGGCCCAGCAGCAAGCCGGTCATGAAGAGGCCGACGCTTCTTACCAGCATGGTGACCAGGCCGCACAGCAGGCCTATACCTAGTCCAATACCTGCGCTGGCCTCTACACTCAGCTGAGTGTCCAGCACATGCTCCTTGTGACAGAGCAAGAAGATGATGACTGAGCCGAACATCAGACCCGACAGGAACATGACAGCCTTGAAACAGCGGTAACCTGAAAGAAGGAAAAACAGATGATAATAATTAGAAATCAGTGGTCTGATGTTATGCACAACTTTATGTTTCAGTTTTCTCATTGTCAAAGTCTGGGCCTCACCAAAGAAGCAGTAGATGATGCCAAACAGGCAACACATGGAGCAGATGACAGCGGGGATGACATCATACTTCCTTTCGATCTCCAAACTGCACACGTCAACTTCAGACAAACCTTCCCCGGCCCCTTCAGAGCTCAGCCCGGTGGGATCTGCCATTCTGGATGAATGTGGGAGGCTGAAGTTCAGGACAAGTTTAGGAACTTCTTGTGGCTCTATCTTAAGTCCATTTGAAAAGATTTGGCAACTGCAAAAAAAAAAAAACATTGTAATGCAAAAGATGAGCGAGGCTTTTAAAAATCCCATATCTGTGAGTAGAGAAATCGAAGAACTCCAGTGTTAATTGTTAAGTGAGAAATCTTAAGGTCAACTGTGACTTCATGCCTGCGTTGTGTGTGCAGCTGTCGCAGATTCAACACAGCGTGCAATACAGCTAAGCGCAATCCTGTGTGCCCTGGCACGCAGCTCATTTACTCATTACAGTCCATGAGCCAGGATAACTCATGAATACTGACTGAGTGGTTTGTGGTCTAACAGATGTAATTAACTTTCCTTGATCACTTTTAACCCAGTTAACATAACTACTTGTAATGTTCCTTCAAGTATTAAACAGGAAAACATCAGTTCCTGTAAGTCTGTTACTTTGCTTCATGTTAAATGAGCTGTTTTTATTTGAGAACATTTTCACAACATATTAGAATCTACTCAATTGATCACTTTGTTAAGAGTACAAGCAGCCATGGTCACTTTCTCCCTATAACTTTGAAAACTTGATTTACCTTTTAAAGCTCTGTGCGTACATTTAAAGCTTTTCAAATGTTGTATCTAGCCTAGACAGATACAACATATGCCCAATTTATAAAGAAACACATAATCCCTTGATTTATGTAAAGACAAAGATCAGATGAGAAAAGATTGTCAGTGCATAACAGGTATATATCTACCCATTTGCTTCACTGAACTTACATTTCACCTCCACCTACTTCCCAGACTAGTACTCGACATGATATTTAAGCCAGCAGGCCTGTGGAGATCCTCAGAGTGCTGCAGCAGGATAAAGGATCATGGGTGGACTGCTCTCTCTGAGGCTGCTGGCAGGCCTCCTGCATGATCTCACCACAGCTGAGATCCGATTACAGCAAACTCACGTTTTCTACTTGAACAAACAGTTGGGAACAGTCGGCCATGCCTTTACTCTGTGCTTTTTTTCCCAGATCGTTCTCTTTCCACTCCGTCTATCTCCTCCTTCACCTGGAACTTTCCTTCAGTCTAATTTCTCTCTTACACTGGAAGGAGCCTCATTTGTTTGGCATTTCTCTCAGACTCAGGGCTCTGTCATTTTGTGTCTCCTGCCTATGAATGACTTTACATGGAAAAAATGAGAACTTGTTGGAACATTTTATTTTCTTCTTTAGTCACTAGCAGTTCTCCAGTACCTTCATATCTGTCTGTCTCTATTTCTGTTTTACATCAGTAAAAACTGCTATTTCTTTTTTTTTTTTTAAGACAGCCTTTAGGAAAGTCTCCAATAAGTGTATGGTTCCAGTTGAAGTTTGAAGACTCAGGTTTGGTGTAGTGTACATTTTTTTAAGCATTAGAATTTTATGAGAAGCATTTAATACTGAAATTTAGATAAAATGTACAATGTGACTTTATATGGTTGAAGTTATCTGGTTCAAATAGCCTATAATACAAGTTTGGATAACTGTCCATTATTATGTTTTAACACTGAAGCAAATGTAAAACAGTTGCCTATAAAAGAACCATCCTAATACAGCTAAAGTAAGGGTATGAAAAAGTACCTAAACTTAATAAGATAACATAATCCTTTATTGATCCCCAGTGGGGAAATTCAAGTGCTGCAGCAGTAAAAGACAACAGGAAGAACATGCATATGAGTGTTAATCAAATTAGAATATATAGGAATAAATCAAAATAAAGACAAGAGTACTACGTATTTACAACTATTATAAGCAAGATGTCTGTCAGTGATTTAGAAAACAGACTTCAGGACCCACTGCTGTTTTACAGCAGTACAACAGTAACTGTACAGCTGTTGTAAACTTAATGTGAAGTAAACTAACTTATTAATCATTTTTTAAAAAGGAGACTTGATTTAACGAGACAGACTCAGATAACTTTTTACCCATTTCTAACCAAATGGGTATTTCATATGAGCACCAACCAATTTCTAAACTTAAAAACAAACACTAATGTGGGGTATTATATCTACACAGTGGGTCTGGGCTGAGTGATGGCTCATTGGTTTCCTCTGTAGCCTTGAAGTAACCAGAATCTCATTTAGGCTGGCTGACAGAGGGTTTTTTGTGTATTGTTGTCTGTATCTCACTATCTGTAAGGGTTATGACTTCAGACACAGGCAACAATTTCTTAGGGATGCAAATAGAAGTGTTTTAGCTCTGTTTTATAAAGAGATCCAGCAACAGACCGACAAGAAGCCCCACCATTACGAGTGGTTTGCTTTCTACGCTTAAACAAACAACGCTCACACCCCGCTTACCCAGTTTGTGATTTTGCATGACTTGTGAACAACAGCTTCGCTCTCTCACACAAACACACATGGATTTGGCAGTATGCATAAACAGAAATAGACCTAAGATCAGCTCCAAACAAACAAAAACAAACACCACAAAGTGAAATAAATACCAAACTCTGC